TTACGAGTCGAGTGCCCTAACCACCTGGCCATAGAGAAAGAGAGAGATTGTTCCGTCTGTTTGTTGTCCAATATAGACAGATAATACTATCAACAAGTTTTTTTTTTTTGCATATTTCATCAGAAGGAAATTGATTGAAGATAATATACTATCTCTACAGATTTCTCCTAAATTTTCTTCACGTGTTTTTTTTTTTTTGGACTATCCTCATGTATTTCTTCTAGACTATTTCCATCATATATCCTAAAATTCTCACAAATCGCGTAAATCATCTCCTTAAATGTATTATACCGGATACCTTTACAAATGGTCAACGGTGGTTCAGCGGCAAATCTGAGGGCTTATGACGCTAAAAATCTGGTTTTGACTCTCGCGGTGACACAACACAGCTAGCCCGTAATGTAGTTTTGTGCTTGATAAACAAACAAAGTCTTACAAATATAATTTTTTTTTCTTTATTACATCACAGGCAGTTCGTGACTGACACGGGTATACTTATTCTCGTTATGGAACTCGAACGACAGGCTATCTTTTGGAAATACGTATGTTATATAGCTGACTGAATACCAAAATTAGTTTACTGTGCTTTCGGCTTTATTGAAACTTTTGCTTCCCAGTCAAACTCTACATTTTGTATACATTAATACTCCAGCGTACGTTTATTATGGTTTGAATTACGGTAATATCTAAACACATAGCTCGTGAAGTATTTCCTTTCCTCTTAAGCTGGTCGGTCATCCGAGTCTGATAGTTGCCATGGTTACAGACTACATAACTATGTTCTTGAACATTTTCGTGGCGTGTGACACGCAAATAAGTTTCAACTTAAACTAGGGAATATGAAAATATATAATCTAGAAAGAAACTTACAGTGGAGATCGCCTGTTTTAATACTCTCTCCAATGATAAGCTCTTTGCTATGAGTGGAATATTTCTGCGTTACAGAAGCTGTACAACGTATGCACATGACGCCATAGCTGAAATGGCTGTAGGTGACAATGAAAGTTAGGCCCACGGTAGCTGTTTTCAACCCGTTCAAATGTTCAAGATTATCATATGTTGTTACGTCAGACGCTGTTATCTGAAAAGAATACAAAACACATTATTGTTCAGCCAAATGAATAATTCAGTACAAGAGAAACATAATCATTATTACAGATTAATGGTTTAAACTAAACCCTCATTATCTATGTTAATGATTCCAAAGAAGGATCTTCCAGGAATCGTTCGCCGATTGGAATTACTTTTTCCACTGTTGATCGTAGTCAGTCTGATTGATGGTAATGAGTACACACTTACAAAACAACATAATTTCCACCGGGCCAAGGAAGGTGAGGCCAGCTTTAGACCCCACGTATTGACAAATTATCTATCAATCTTGTACTATACCAGTTTCCAAGTCCATGTTTAAACAGACCAAAGTTTGTGATTCCAATTTTTTTTAGACACTCTTATCATGAAAACATTTGTTAATTTCATTAGATATTTTGAGCTCATTTATTAACAGATAGATCTAGCTTCATCACAATGGAGTATTTTTTTTAGTTGGAGGATTATCTTTTGTAACTATAGCTACAATTTATGGATGAAGGCCTTACTCTGGATTTTTTATTTATTTTTTGGTTTTACAGTCTCACTATACAAATATAGTCCTTCAAAGTGCTGTGATATTACAAGCTTCTGACCTAAATCTGACCCCGGGGAAGTATTTGATTGTTGAGTGGTCGGGAATCAAATATGTAAACATGTACCCATGGCGCTATCGCTTGCATTTGTGCAATTGTTATTAAATTAGCATAAAACCCAGTAGTAATTTTGAGAACGTATAAAGCTAAAATTCGGAGTTCAATCCCATTCTACAGTTTCGTACTTAACAACAAGCAAATCCTTTTATGAAGTATGATTAACCCTTTTTTACTGTATACTCACACGTACGTGTATAAAATATTTTCAAAGTACTGCTTTAGAATTATTAAAAACTAACAAAGGTATCCGAGCTTTAAAATGATGCTATAAATGGGGACGCTGGTCGCTCCCTTCCAATATTTGGAGCCATAGCAACATAAACCGTTCATCCAATACAAAGACACCCATGCGACGCGTGGCATTAAACGTCACTTTCGTCTAACGTCTTCTTCACGTTTTTTACTACTGATTGCCTTGCTCAGCTGAGGCCTAATTTGTGACATTAAGGCGGTAAAATAGCTACCAGACTCGCACTATTCTTAGCCCCATATTCTTCATCATGTATATGAGTGATATGCCACTAACTGACACACATTTCTGTTTTGCTTCGCAATTCGCGGACGATGTAGCAATTTGGAAGAGTTCCAAAACTCCCTGCACAGCAGCCACAAACTTATAACCCATGATGAGTGATATAGCTGAATAGTGCCCAAAGAAAATAATAAAAATTAATATACCAAAAGCACAGGTCATTATGTTCTCAAAATCCAACAAAGATGGTTACAACAAACCTGAAATTAACTAGATGGAACCCTTCTCCAGACTGTTATATCAGCAAGATTTTTAGACCTTACTTACGACTCGAAACTAAGCTGGAAAACACATGTAAACGAAATCAAAAACAAACTCTGGAAGCGGGTAAACTATGTCAGGAGTCTATCTAGAAATAACAGAGGCACATCACCGTAAAACATATTAAAAATCTACAGATAATACATACAACCGGTAATAGTATATGCCTCCTAGGCTTAGATTAACGTTACACCACACATATTACAAACTATACGAAACTCAGTTTTCACTACAGCATATAAAATTCCACGCACATTCAACAAATTCAGTTTTCCTACAGAGTTATGTGAACATATAGCTACTCTACGATAGACTCCAGCAGTGAGACTAGCACTTTACAGGTGGAAGTTGACGTGCCGCCATGACACGTGAAGACGGAAGCTGGGGAGGGGAAGAGGGGGAGATATCATTAAAGACGCGTTGCTAGGCCGCCATGTCAGGCGGCCATGAAGTCATAGTTCAACAAAGTGTTACCAGAGGGCGAAACTAGCTTACTGAGGGCTGAAATTATAGTTCGTTACCAGACAGACAGCCATAATGGGTGATCTCGTAATAGTACCACAAAGTAGAGAACGTGTTTCTAGGCCGCCTTGACAGGCGACCACGACTCATACAATATATGTCTAATTATGTCGATAATAAATCATTAAGTCATTAAATAATTTATAATTAAATCATCTTAAAAAGGACGCTGAACTCTAATTAATTAAATCTATATAATTAATTCATTAAATCATTTTTGTTTGTTTTTGAATTTCGCGCAAAGCTACACGAGGGCTATCTGCGCTAGTCGTCCATAATTTAGCAGTGTAAGACTAGAGGGAAGGCAGCTAGTCATCACCACCCACCGCCAACTCTTGGGCTACTCTTTTACCAACGAATAGTGAGATTGACCGTCACATTATAATGCCCCCACTGCTGAAAGAGCGAGCATGTTTGGTGTGACGGGGATTCGAACCCGCGACCCTCAGATTGTGAGTCAGGCGCCCTAACCACCTGACCATGCCGGGCCTAAAATCATCTTAAAAAGGACGCTTAACTAGGATCCAGGTTGACAATGTATAATTGATTTTTCTGCATGGTCAGGTTGTTGATTACTGGCAAACACACCTCCAAACGTTTTTCTCGTACACAAATCCTGCTAGAGTATTGAATAAAGTTCTAACTTATTAATATCTTCTTAGATATCTGTTATAATGTTTCTAAACTGATAGTTTTCTAAAATTGACTGAAATGCTACATATGCTAGAACATTTATAGTGTTAGGTAAAGCACCACCAAATTTCTCTGTTTCGCCAATTTAAAGTGAGAATCTCCAGATCTGGTGTAAGATCAAAGGCAAAGAATGTATATCCTCCAGATTATTCATTATATCCTATGTCAACTCCTTGATCTTGACTTTTTTTTTCTAGTTCCACTAAATAATGTTTGATAGCTTCGTACATACAGCTCAGCTTCAAAATCTGGTCGTAAAGGTCAAGTGGGAATCTGTTTACCATCCACGTTGATTGCTAAGAAATTGATATTGTAATGTTTGAAACTGTATGGGTTTTTCTTCCAAGATCTGTTAAATGCATCGTCATCAAAACATCCAATGACAAGACGTGTAGATACTTGATCTAAAAAAGCATTATCATTAGATGCTTATAAGTTTCCCTGAGGAATTGAAAACGATTTACACATTATATATTTGAAAGGATATTTAGCTGTTCCTTTCTGAAATGTTTTAGCATGTGTCAAAACGACTGACGGGTTGATCTTGACTTTTATAGCATAGATAGAAACATGCCATAGTACAAGTTCGAATCCTGATTCATCATTTGACATAATACAAAATTAATCTTTACTTGTATGAATCAGAGTTTTAAACTTACACCATTAGGCAAGAACTTGTTCTGTAAAAATATATCTGAATGTGAAAGACCGATCATGTCGACTGTTTTACTACCACTTGTATCTGTGTGTCGATCTTCGATTCCGTCGTTCTCGCCATCATTAAAATCGAGATCATTAAAATTGCTTGCTGTGTCTTTTATCCACATGGATGATGTCAAATGACTTCTTTTAGCTTCGCCATTATAACTTAGTAAAGTTTCTATGTAGGCCTTATATGCATAAAGGCTGTGAGACGAAGAAATGAGTTTATCATTCAGTTGTACATCGACTTGCAAAAACAGAGAATGAAGTAACAAGTTTACAAGTGTAGAGGTATCTTCATCCTGTTTTAAAATTGGTATTATCAGGTTTGACGATCTTTGCCTTTACATGAAGATACGATTGTGCTGGATCTAAATATTCATCTCTTGATCCCGATATAGAAAATTCTATAGGCCCTCTGTCGGTCACTGAAGATAGAGGATAATGTTCAGTCCACTGGCCTTTCTCAATCACTGTTTGTGTGGGAGGGAGAGAAAATAAGTCTAGCTTAGACTTTGTACATAGACAGGACTTTTCATTTGATAGGAGAGTCATGATTACTTGTCAAAAAAAGTCTGGAGTCGATGTTATTCATCTCTTAGCTATAGATATTCTGAACACTGGACCTTTCTGTTTCTTCTTTTTATTACGTAGGACTTCTCTCACCAGATTCCTTGTATTGCTCGTAGTTTTCCAGCATTGATAAAAGGTTTTCCTTGTATTACATCTGATGCTAAGTTTATACCTGATTTAACTGCCTGTTTTCCTAAAGCTAATGCCCCTTTTTTTCAAAAAAAGGTATGGCTGAGCAAAACATATTACTCAAAACATCTCCCAAACCGTGACCTCGTTGCCATTGACTACCAAACCGTTGCCATTGACTACCTGTAATCCATTTCCCACTTGGTAACCGTAATAGGTATCATAAGCCCACTGGTCGTTATTGTAAGGTACTCTCATGACGACGACGGAAGTGAAGCATTATGATGACTCTCCCGTGTTCAAATGGTATACGTTGACCCATTTCATCCTTTATATCGATCTACATAGTTTGAAATCTCTTTTTAGATACAGGTCTGTAGTGAGGTTTCGTAAACATTTCATTAATCATATTCCCATCCTGACCTTTAACTTGAATGATTCGTATCAATGGCACATATATATCATCGACAATACTAGGTTCCACAATATCTGAGACCAAATAAAATCCTCCATGCATATTAACAGTATGTGGAGCTATAGTGGGTTCTGATATTATATGATTATTCTCAAATCAGAATACTACAGATAGTACAAAATCAAATAATATAGTGTCCTTCTTTCATATTAACACTTACTTTTCTGGTGAATGATTTGTAATAAAATTACAGGATATGTGTTAGATTCATAGGCTAACTCATATGATCTGTTTAGCATTCTAATTAAATCTTCAGGTTCTTTGTAATGGCCAGGTATAATATAAGTGATTTTATTGTGACCATCAGAGGTAGGTAATAAACTGATCCAGCCTGTACCATCAGGTACATTATGCAACTATGTGGATACTGGAATTCAACCAAGGCAACTTCCCACGATCTTTTAAGGTTGATAGATCTCGGAAGATGAGTGATATAATTTGTCAGAGTATTATTAGCAAAATAATTCGTAGAACTGTTACTGTCACGTACAACTGATCCATGTTGAATATTGAGAAATAGAGTTATACATAACATTTTATGATGGCAGGCAATTCAGATCTGTTTGAAGGATCCAGCTATTAAATTTATCAGAATATTCTTTCCATTTTACAAAATATTGTTTGTTTTTACTATGTCCAGGTTCACGTAATATTTCTTTAACATCATAGATGTCGTTGAACGACATTATAACTCTTTGTAGTTCAGATTTGTAACATGTTTCATTTAATTTTTCTCCAAGATAGTCTTGCAGTCTATAAACTGATGGATTTTTCTCTATTCTCTGGTAAATCGTAAATATTTCGTCTGTACATGCCTCTGGTGGCAACTTTTGGAACTATGACTTCTTCATCTTTGATGACACCAACCCTTTCTCCAGCTTCCATCTTCATGTGTCATGGCAGCATGTCAACTTCTGTCTGTCACGTGCTAGGCTTACTAGTAACTCTTGACTAGATTGGTCACCTGCTTCCAGAAAAATTTAAACAGAAATGAACAAGTACACAGCGTGGTCACAAGTAAATAGACACCACCTTTTCAGAAAAAAAATAAAATTTTCAGTTATATTCACATGAATTGATATATTTATAATTTAATTAATATCTAGTAGATCTTCCTTTCGCTTCAGTGGAAGTTCGTTGATCCTTTGGGGCATCGTGAGAATCATCTCGTCAATTTTAGATTGTGGGATTTTCGCCCACTCTTGCTTCAAAACTTGGAGTAGATCGCTCTTTGAAGTTGGTTTTTTTGGTTGTTTCTTGACTTGCCGGTCGAGTATGGCCCAGAGGTTTTCGATGGGGTTCATGTCAGGAGATTGGCTCGGCCAGGGCAACTTCTGGATACCATTTTCTTCCTGCCACTGTTGGGTGTGACACGGTGCTCTATCTTCCTGGAACAACGTTGTGTTCTTACCCACGAAACCCGAGGAATAAATGGCAAGAGTCCTTCCTTCCTTCAATATTTCGACGTATTTCGCAAAATTTATGTTGCCAACGCACTCCACTAAGCTCGATCTCATACCAACCCAAACAGCTCCCCAAACCATTACGCTGAAACCACCAAGCTTCACAGTTGGCTGCAATCTGTTGAGCCAAAACTCTTGGTGAGGCATTCTTCAGACCCATATCCTTCCACTGTCAGAAAATTGAGCGAATCTTGA